TTATATTTATCGGTATAGTTGCCATTATGTACCTGTTGTTCTTCCGGTATTTACTATTTCCTCGGATGGTTTTCATTTTAGCGTTTGATGGGACACGGTACGTAATCCTAGTTGGAATAGGTTGGGATTCTTTATGGGTAGGGGGAATAACTTTACTGGACCTGGTCAATCGATGGTTCGATGGCTCAATGTTTTCATTAGCTTTGGGAGGCATGTATTCTTTAGCTGGTAAGGGCTTACGTTTTGAATTGTTTCCCTTGTCGCAGACAACCGCCGGTTGATTATTTAAAGAGGGACTGCAAAATACGGCAGTTTCACTAGAGCCCTCCCTGGGGACACATACTTGGTGGTTATTTACTAGGGAGCTGATAGTAGAACCATTAGTTGCGCTAGGGGCTTCGTTTGAGACAGTTGAGGGCAGATAATATGATAGGGTGCTACTAATAACATCATTGGTTTCAGCGTTTTTTAATAACGTTATTAGATTTATTCTTAGGAAACGCTTTTTGTTCGAGTTCCGCCAGGCGTGACTTTAGATTTAAATTTTCACTGGTCAATTTACATATATCCTGTTTACATCTGTCAATGGTTTCCCTCTGCTCCGAAAGTTCGAAAATCAAGGCTTCGACCCTAGATTCAAACTCCCTTTTGAAAGTGCCAAAAAGTTTCTCTATAGCAGGCGAGTTGTCATCAACACTCGGGCGAGACGGGGTAGAACAATCAAAGGTTCGGGTAGAAGATAAATTGGCATTATCACTTAGCGGCAATATATTTTGATATGAAAAGTCGATAAAGTCTTGTAGATCTTCAAGGGTTGAGCAATCTGATGTTGTTTCTGTTACCTCGCTTTTAGATCTAGTATTGTCGCTAATCATAGATATTTTAGCTGTTTTGGCCACGGTTTGACTTGCATATAACAGGTTATCATTGTTTGAAGCACAAATGATAGATTCATGACTAACTATACTGTCCGTAAACAAGTCAGAACTCTTACTTGATTGATTTAATATAACCTCTTTCAAACGGTTACCTTCTTGGCCTTGAAATAACAAAGATTTCTTGTTGGTGTAATATGTAATATGTAATAGTTATTTTATCGTTTCGAAATGCCTTTGCTGAGCCTCTCGGCGAACTCCATTTCCCATCGGCACCAAACAAATCAAATATCAAACATTTCAGTTCGTCAAAATTTCCTAGCCATTTAATTTTCTTGTCAGGTTGCACTTGGAAGTATTCTTTATACTTTAACAAATTCTCGTAGGTTTTGTTGTTAGTTTCGTTCGCACAAACGTTGAGTATTTCACAAGGATCAACAACGACCGCCATTGCACTAGATTAGGCTGTAGATCTGATTTCCAAGGGGTAGAGTCGCTGAACAGGTCGTTTTATGGTGGTCGATCTTCCTTTCTTTGAAAACACCTTTACTACAGCTCTTCTTGTCTGTCCATCAGCTCCAGAGATTAAACTTTCAACCTTTCCTAATCTCCAAAGTCCTCTGGGACGTGATTCTTCGTGGACTACTACAATATCACCAAGACTGACGGTTTCATTTCCATTCCGTTTCTGAACTCGATGAGATTCTCGCAACTCCATCAAGTACTCATTCCTCCATCTCGACCAGAAATGATTCATAACATTACTTAAATGTCTCATCCTCCGGGTTAAATCATCCGATCTAACTTAATGTCAAAATCTGGATCGTCCTCATTGTAGTTGGGTTCTGGCAGACTCAATAGCCTTCGTCCTACCAGCAGATGTGAAGGCGTGAATTGAGGATCATTTCGACTTCAACCGTTGCTGTGAGGAGCTCTTCGTACGTGAGTTTAGCCGTTCCCAAGGTTTTCTTTAAGCATCTCTTCGTCGATTTGACCAGCCTTTCAAAGAAGCCTCCCCACCAGGGGGCCTTTTCCAAGTTGAAATGCCATGTTATGCGCTTTCCAGCAAAGAATTTCTTTACGTCAATGAGTTAAAATGGTAGTAATTTCTTTCGCCGCGGGTTTAAATGTCCCACCGTTGTCCGTTATAATAGTTGATCGATGCATTATTCGATGGTATTCCTCTTCTCCTCATGAATCCTTCAACTCCTCAAACTCCTCATGAATCCTTCTGACGTCAAATTTGGCACGACATCCAAATGTAGTGCTCTGACTACGCAACATGTATATAAACAGATCCAGACTTTCGGATTTTTCTCTCGTCTTCACGTATAACGGACCGAGAAAATCTATGCCCGTCGCAGTAAAGGGTGGTACCTCGTTTACTCGGAACTCTGGCAGCGGAGGTGCGGGTGGAGCTTGGTAAGGCTTTCCTTCAAACCTGCGGCAAGTAGCATACTTGCCCAGTTGTGTCCGAATAAACTGTCTTCCTCGAACAAGCCAATACTGGGATCGCAATTCAGTCAGGGTCTCCTTTACGCCATTATGCATCACTTTCTTGTGGCACTCCCGAATGATTAGGGTTGTGAGATAATGATTCTTGTCCAATATGATAGGATGCTTCGTCATTAATGGCAAGTTTGCCTTTCCCAATCTTCCTTTGCATCTCCATACATTTTTTCGTCAAGATAAAGATCAAACCGAACCTTCCAGTGTTCAAATTCCCCTTTCTCAGGCAATATTGGTTGCATTTCCTTCGTTCACACACTTCGTTCACCGTCCTTCTTGTGTTGCACTGCTTTCACAAATCGTAGAACATACGCTGTCACCCGAAGAAGTCGTTTCAGGGTTCCAAATCGCTCGCACCTTATAATGTCGTTGAGGCCATGTGAAGAATTGCTCAGTGTAAGGGTTGATAAACTTGGTGGTTTCGTTATTTTCATTTCCGCTAAACATTCTTCTGGTGGTACGCATTGCTCGTCACCGTCTTCAAGTTTTTTAGTAGTTTGGCCTAGCCAATCTGAACCACTGTGCCATAGTATACTGCCGCTAGCTCTGAAAGGTTTATTCTTCTTGGAGGTATGTCAGCTGGATTATCTCTGCCTGGACAGTGTCACCAAGAATTCGGGCTTACCAGATTTCGGATTTCCATTGCTCGGTTCTGCACGAACTGTTTCCACTCCCGATCTTCATTCTTGATCCAGAACAACGCTACTTTCGAATCAGTCCAGCAAACTGAATCTTACAATTGTAACTCCAGACGTAAGACCTCCTCCACGTCTTTAAGTAATGTTGCAAGGATGAGACAGGATAACAGTTCCAATCGAGGAATAGTTTGTTTGTCAATGGGGGTGACTCTTGTCTTAGATGCTAAAAATCTTACGTTAGCACTGCTGGCAGTTCTAATTACCAAACAGGTCACCGCGGCATATGTCATCTTTGACGCATCACAGAAACGATGGATGGTGAAAGAAATTACTCTCTCGCTTATATTATAGAAATAGCAACGGGGAAGGAGAATGCGTTTCATCTGCAGTAGTTCTGCCTCTAGTTTCTCCCATTTTACTCTTATCGAATGTGAGATCTCATCATCCCAACCAACTTTACTTTCGCATAACTCTTGGAACATTTGTTTAAATTGGACAGTTATTGGTGGCATATATCCCAACGGGTCGTAAAACTTAGCGGAGAGTCGAACGATATTTCGCTTGGTGGGTTCACAGGTTTTGGCCAATTCAGCTATGCCACTTAAGTCAAAAACAAGTTGATCTTCAACGAAGTTCCAATTTACACCAAGAACTCGTTGTTCACTTTCAGATGTTGTGGGTTCAGTACCAAGCGTGATCTTTGAATATGTCTCATCTTCATTGACAGCGTCAGGTTGTTCAGAGTTGTAACTTGTACTAATATCCTTTGCCAGCTTGCTGGATAACGTAGATTCGTTCCTTTCAATCTTCTCCATCAGCCCTGGCGAATTAGTAACAAACTTTCGTAAATTGAAACCCCCTTCAGCCAATCGGAGCTTTGCCTTCTTATACAACATGTAAACAGAGTCATCATCATTTCCACCAGAATTCAAATCATCGACGTAAATGGCTCGTAAAAACGCATCCACAAATTTGGGGTCTTCACAACGGTACTGTTCGATGTGGTGTCTTATTGTGGCGTTGAGCAAAAACGGACTGGACGACACCCCAAACACGACCCGGGTTATCATACGTCGTCGAACCATAAGAACCTCAGAACGTTTCGATCTACCTTTGCGACTGATACCATAAGAAACGCCTTTTCGATATCTCCAGCTAATGCAATTCTATGACTCCGGAGTCGTAGAATGATATCCATGATGCTCTGTGTCATTGCAGGACCAGTGTACAAGCAATCATTTAGGGACGGACCACTCGATTTTGCCGAAGCATCATATACTATTCTCAGTTTTGTGGTTTGCTTGTCTCGCCTTATTACCGCATGATGGGGCATGTAATGGACCTTTCCCATTTCACCAACATCTTTCTTATCAACTATTTCTACAATTCCTCGATTCAACTGATCCTTGATGACAGCATCGTATTCTTTAAGTACTTCTGGGTCCCTTTGTAATCGTTGTAGTAAGCTCATTAATCGTTGGCGACTCATCTCAAAATTATCGGGTAGGATTTGGTGCTGTTCCTTCCATGGAAGATTTACCTCGTACCGTCCATCCTTGAATGCGATGGTGCTCTCGAATTCGTCATGTACCGACCTTTCTTGCTTCAGTATGCCAAGTGACTCTAAGTCCCAGAAAGCTCTCAGATCCCATTCAATTCCTTGGCTCTGGGTTTGGGTAGGTCGGTGATGTTGCACATCTTAGGACATGTGTAGTGGCTAAGTTCGTAGCGGGTTTGGAGATTGGCATCCGCTCATCTTCGACTGGACCAGAAAGAACCCATCCCAATCTTGTACCGACTGCCGTTGGACCATTTTCTCCCCTTCTAACCTCTCCTGTCACAAGATCCCAATATTGGTCGCATCCAATAAGAACATCGACTTCTGAGTTGTCTATCCCTGTCGAACAATCAGCCAAATTCAGGTCTCGCAAATGATCATAACTTTGTTGGGCTTGAGAAGTAAACTGATGTTGCAGTGGCTCACATATCATCGGTACTGCATAGGCGGACAGACTTATCTCAGCTTGGTCATGTTGCGATTTCAATACAAACTTTACAGAATCATAGGTTTGAATTCTCTCTTCTTCTGAACCAAATGTTTTTATTACCATTGTTTCTGTTTTCTCTGTAGGTAAATTTAGCTGATTTCTTACTCCATTAGTTATATAAGAGCGCTGCCTACCGCTGTCCAGAATGACTCTCACCTTCGCACTGTTCACTGTTGTATCGTCTTGCGTAATGGTTGCTTGGGCTGTCTGCAGAAGGACAGGTGTCTTGGAGCTCACCAAAAGATTTGTTCCATTGGTTTGTTGTTTGAGGGGATTATTTTCCGATCCAGTTTTCTGCTGAGCTTGTAATCCTTGGTCCTGTTGTGCATCTTTCTGAACATTGGCAGGGTTTTCGGACTTTCGCTCATTGTTATCTTTCGTGCAGATACTTATGTGATGCCTACTACGACATTTGAAGCACTGAGTTTTAGAGTTGCAATCTCGACACAAGTGATTTTTCTTTAGGCATAAGAAACACCGACCGCCTTTTCGTAAAATGTCCTTTCGGGCTGTGACATTTGAGACAGTTTGACAACTTTTAGAGGTGTGTGGACCTTGGCAATAAGTACAACTGATTGTAGAGCCCCCCATCTGTAAGACTGCGCCAGATGGTAGTTGTCTTCCTTTAGGCGATATTTTTGCTAAATATTCTCGTATGTTGTTGATTTTGGCTTTGTTACCTTGGCAACAGAGCGGTCCTGCATATTTTCACATGCATAACCGGTTGCGTAAGCGCGTGGAAAACGATTGCGTACGCGTGTGATTGCTGCGTGGTTGCTCGCTGTGTGTTTTGGTCATGCATTTCCAGAATTTTCATGACTAGCCATATTATTTTATATTAGGTTTGTTGTTTTCTGATTGGCTTACGACGTTCGCGCACGCGCAATGCGGCTGTTTTTGACGCCTTGGTCACAATCTCGTACCCAGAGCAATGCCTGTGCACGGGCTAGGATGGCATTGGCTCTGGGGAAATTGAAAACCGGAACCCCTAAATAAAATTAAACCCCTAGATAAACGTTAAACCAATCACAGCACAGGAAAAATTCAATTTCCCCAGAGCCAATGCCATCCTAGCCCGCGCACAGGCATTGCTCTGGGTACGAGATTGCCTTGGTCATGCAATTTTCGTTTTGCATGACTAAACGGGCAACACAACCTGATCATAGCCTCTTAGCTCGAAGCTTTCAGCCTGAATGAACACGTCTTCAGGTCATTCAAGCATGTCGACTTCTTCTTTACTCGAAGCTAAAGAAATTGTTTGGGAATTGGTGGAAAAAACCATTTTCTGCTCAGCAGAATATTATTGTTTATAAGCAGAGACAAACGCCAGATCTTTCGACATGCCCGATCGGGAAAGGTTTTCAAATGTCGTGGTATTCAAAGAAAGAATGGCTTAGGCTAAACAAGCTCTGCTATTGCCTATTGGTATTTAGTTATTGTTACATGTATTTTGTCTTGAATATTTAATTAAGCCTTCAACCCGAGCATAGGCGTATAAAGCATCGAGCGCTATATCATACTGTATGAAATACAATGTCAATGTCGAGGTCAATGTAGTAAACAATGTAGTTCTATAAATAGCGCTGCTTAATATACATTTCAACACGCAACACAAACATTTTAGCGATTGTGATCATCACCTACTAGTTCCAGAATAGCATTGTCTTGTTGTTGAAATACAACTAGTTTATCTTCGAGTGTTTTCTTTTTAAGTGTAAGCTTCACAACATGAGGTGCTAGTTTAGATTTATCGTCAACACTTGTCAAGAGATCATTCGCTGCAGAAATTGTTCGTTTTGTTGATGTTCTGTGGCCATTTCGGACTCTTTTCATCCTACCCAACTCTTGGGCTTCAGTCATCGTAATGAGAGTTTTAATATGAGTTTCAATTTCAAAAGAATACTGATAAAACAACTTACCAGTCGAGGGATTTCGTCGTGTTTTAGATTTCAAATTCCAACAGTGTTTTATATTCGCATTATAAATCTGCTCTCATCCGGCTCGAAGGACCATGTTCGATATGTAGAATTGTTTCCTTTATATTGAGTTATTCTTAGATTCAAAAGACTCACTTCATGCACTGGTTTTGTACAAATTTATTACATAAAACACAACATAAAACACATAAATTCCCTCTCGTACAATTCTTTCTCGTATTTTTTGATTTTGTACGCATGAGCCATGCTTCCGCTTAACAATAACAACTTCCTTCTCCAATGGATTGACATACAAAAGACACAAAACAGCACACTCATTATATGCATGCACTTAATATACAATATTTCACTGCATAGTCTACTTTCCAGACCCCGTTCAAGGTATAAAAATCCATAAAATAAATAGTGTTTATAAGTAAGCCACAAACAAGAGATCCCAGACGCATGTAAAAGTCCTATTACTTATCCCAAAATTAAAATAAATCAGGAATAAATCACGTAAAATTAAACAAAAGTTAGAAAGTGTAACGAAATACTTCGCCACAAAATGAAAATAACGAAGTAAAACGCTACTTCTTAAGACAACTTCTTTCCAAGTAAAAGTACTCCAGAAAAAGTTTACTTTGTTACATGCTGACTTCTCGAAAATACTAAAAATGTCTGTACCAGACCAGTGTGGGTAGTACCAATGTGAAAATGCTGTGCTGAGTGGTTATATTACAATACCTTAAAAAATGGACCTTCGCTCGAAACTTCTCGAAAATATGCTTGTGATGTTACTCTGAGTGTATATCTACACCTGAAAAATATGCCTGGCCACGGTGGGAATCGAATAAGTCGTTCTTTTAATACCACTGATAATAAACCTCTATAGTTCGTGACGTCTATCCGGCAAACATACATAAGTTCACACGACTGACCTAATAACTAAATTCCATGCGTCAATGTACTGTAGTGTCTACATCCTAAATGAATTAAAACTATATATTTATGTGTTTAAAGGTAGACACGTGTACACTTCACGTACTTTTTTAAAGAAGTTGAGGCCAAGCTGATAATGACGTGCGGACGTCGAACATCGAGTCACTCACGCTTGAGCTGTATCGCTTGCAAATCTGTTCTCACGTGCAAACTGAAGAACAATGACTGCTAAAACATTAAGGTTTCTACATTTTGTAGTTTTCCATGGCGATATTATTCTTTCCACAAACCCATTCAGAGAAGTACATACAGAATGAGGCCTAACTGACTTTTCGCTGTTTTTTTATCCAATCAAAATACAACCCATGCATGCATGCATGTGTCTCCATTAATAAGACATATATCTTTATACTTAGGAACAACTTTGAAATAGCGAAAACTTATCAATACTTCAAGGATGTATACGTAAAACCGTATTGCAGAATACCACCTTATGTAATGGGAATGGTACTGGGATATGTTATTTACAAGTATTTTTCCAAGAGGTTTCAACTAAAATGGGTAAGACTTTTACTGATTAATCGGGAAATAGTTGATTGTTCAGAGGCGTTTTACTTTGGGAATATTTGTAGAATTTCGCGACTGACCTCTATGCGCACGATAACAATGCATACCGCGCAGATATAAAAAATCAATACGTTTGATTCTAATTTCCGGTTATAGCTACTTGTGTTGTAATTGTATGCTTGTGTTGTAGTTGTATGCTTGCGTTGGAGTGAGTCCATGAATTTAGTTTGAAAAAATCTTCCCAATATAAAGAACAATTTATTTTTATTCATTTCCCCAGAAATTCGTCCTAGCTATGTGGATATTGGCAGTATGTGTAGCACTTGTTGATATATACGCTCCATACAGCGCTGTCAAAGAAAATCCTCGAATTTGGACTAAAGGGGAGAGAGCTGTTTATGGGTCATTACGTTGGACTATTTGGAGCTTTTCCATCATTTGGTTAATTTTTGCTTGTCATTACAACTATGCAGGTATGTTGCATGGTTATATAAATGTATGTTTGTGAAGCAACGAACAATCAATATACTTTCAAAGTCTACAATGTTAAAGTATTAAAATTTTTCAATTCCAAATTAAAATGTGCTTTATTAAAACATTATTTTTCTATAATTTTAATGCTCATTTTCTGCATGGCTAATTAACATTACTCAAATAAAGACATCAATCGTCTCCCATTTTCAGATTTCTATTTATGCCAATTTGTTTGGAAAATATACATGCATGCATTATAAAAAAGATATGAAGTTAGTTTTGGCACTTTTCCTTCAAATTAGTTATTTTTGGCAAGTTCTGGGAAATAAATGGTGATGTAAATAATTTAGAAAACTCATTGATAATTTATACATTATGCAAATCGGTGTTATATCACATGAGGGTTGAGATTTCGATAATCAAACTTCGATTTCTTCGAAATTCTTGGTTAAAATGAACCACATCGCGGTCATTCCCCCAAAATAGTTGGTAAGCTTTTCCAATGATTATTTGATACATGACCAGTAATCAATGTTAAGTTAACCTGATTTGCACTCATTCAACAAAGTTTTCTTCAATCTTTTTTTCTTCTTCATTTGATTTACTGCAACTCGCCTTGTAAATCAAATAAAGATTGGCTGCTCATGTTTATATATCACCTAAAAAACTAATAAACGTCATGAAGAAAATCCAAAAGAAAGGAATGTTCAATCAATGTCCGTAAATCGAATACAGATTTAGTCTTGAACAACACTAACTTTATGTTCGATTTTCTCGATCGACTTAACGAACCAAGTTTGCCGAAATAATTGGTGTATCATGCAGATACAGATCAGCTTTATATATTACTTTAATTATATTAAACATGATTTACGTTTCAGGTCCAGTTAAAATGCTCCTTGCTGCAAAGTTCTGGATACCTTTAAGTCGGATAAATTACGTTGCGTTTATTATGCATTATACAATTATAAAGATTTTTTCATACAACATTGAAGCTCCCATTCACTACACAGGCTTTACGTTGGTAAGCAGACGATCATTAGGAATTTAGGGAGCTTTAGCTACGAGTACAAGTACGACTACAAGATTCGTTATCCGGACACGCCCACATATTCTTATGCGATCTCCGACTAAAAAATGACTGTAGGGCCCCTTTAACATTCTTAGCGATTGTTTACATTACCAGCGGTTGCCGAACCAATTAAGCACATGCTTGCTACCCGTAACATGATTTGCATGGGAAGTCGTCAGTAAAATAAGCGACATTATCTCCATGCATAGTCTAATGGGCTATCTCCAATTTAAATGTGAAAAAATATGTTTTAAGAATTCAACTCCCAAACCATGTGAAGGGAGTGGAAATAATTTGCTATCAGCTTCAGAAATAGTACAGGCTACAATAGCTATTGACGCAAATTCAAAATCTATTGGAGCAGTATCCGCCTGAGTTGTACACCATTTGGAGTTTGGTTGTAGGATCTATTTTCGTCCCCAGGCTACTAGTTTTGGGTCACTTGGTGGTCTGAAGACCCTCATGCTTATCTTCATGCATTTAAAGATTGGCTACTTCAACAAAAATGCGCTAAGCGTGCTCCCATTAGGGATCCTCAGTGTGGAGAGCAGATAGTCAACTTGCCTTGGTCCACAACCTGACTGAACCCAGGCTTTGCAATTTTTGGAACATGTCCATATTTAATGTTTTACTTTTGCATAGGCTCTCCTTCAAGAATGGGGCCCTGTTGAGGGAACCTATCAAATATACACTAGCACTAT